GCGTTCACTTCCCAGCACGGCTCCACAGCCACAGGTCATCCTGCGGTTTGAGGTCCAGTGTAAGGACCTCAGCTGCTGCTCATTGGCATGTCCTTTCCACAGGCGACAGCGGGGTTGGTTTGCAAAGCCCCTCTAACATGGACCGCACGCATGGGGGATGCTTCCCTGCCCTCTCTGCAGAGGACAGGGACAGGGGGCTTGTCCCAGGGTTGCCGTCATCCGTCTTGCTAACGCACGCTACGAGAAAATGTGAAGGTATCCGTGAGCTGTACAGGTTTATGACTGAATTCCCTTCTTTTCTAAATGCTGTAGCTTAATGCCACAGTGGCATCTCGCCCCCAGGCTGTTTTATTGAAGCGCGGAGGAGCAAAGGAAGGACACGCTCGATCGTTTGGTGGAAGCTGCCCGTTGCACGCCCGGTTTCGTGGCTGCCTATATCCAACTTCCAGGGCGTTGCGATGCTTGAGCCTTGCCTCGAAGCATCGCACCTCTCTTCAGAGCACAAAAGGCAGAGCTCCTGTAGGACTGGGGCGCGCGGCTCATTTTGCAAATAAAGAGTTGCTTTGACCTTGTGCAGGGAAATGAGCAGGCCCTGTCAGGCCTGGAGTACCGGGGCTGGGAAGTCATCTGCTCAGGCAGCGTGGGCTCAGGTCGTTAGTTGGTATTTACGGCTGGGAGTTGGTGATATTGCTCTGTGTACAGGGGGCTGCAGGGTCTGAATACTAAAATGCTCCTATTTACTAACAGCTTTATATTTTAATTTAAAATTAATTCAGATTTAAATGAATCATTTAACCCTTAATTAGGACCAAGTCTTCATCGCAGGTTAGTCAAACAGAGGCAAAATTTGCATTGCTGTTGGAAAGACAGTCACATTTCTTTAAGCAGTAACTACCATAGGTTGCTACATGCATTTGTTTTTCTTTCACTGGAATAACTTTCCCCACCCTCTGTCTCTGAGACAGACTTACCAGTTAACAGCTTAAGGAAATTCATTTTCATATGGTAACAAGGACAACAGGACTTCAGTAAAGTCAGCGTGGCTCACTCTGAAATAAAAGAGATTGAAATCAGACTGCATACAGTTTTAAAATAATATTGCAGTTTGGAGTTATCACAGGAGTCGCTGGGGCCAACACATATCAGGCATCTGACTTGAGGAGACCTTCTTAAAAAGCGAAACCAGACAGCCTTGCTGTACAGTTTATATCGTGCATTCAAAAACTCTCAAGGTTTCTTTTACACACTTTTAGCGTGCCGAGAGTTTTTCTTCCCAGCTCATTGCATCTACTTCCTCTCACATCATTCCCCCTTGTGAGGGAAAGGAAGATTTCTTAGCTTCTAGAAGATGTTGAGAAAAAGCAACTGTTGTTCACAGCTCGTTCCTGTGCTGAAATTACAGATTCTGTGAAGACTTCCTATGCTAGTCCTTTTGTTTTCAACCTGACTGAAACCAAAGCCATGGTATTCACCTCAAAAAGCCAGTTCATGTAATCCAATTTATCTGACATAACAAAAATGAATGCCTTTTGAAGTAAAGGGTTCATTTGTTTCTCTTATATTTCAGAATTAAAAAATTACTAGGAAAAGAATAATAATACTAAGTACATTGACAACATTTTCTATTGGCACCCCCCTTTCCCAGCTTCAATTTCAAGTATAATTGCATTATTTTTTTTTTCTCCTTTGGGCTGCAGCTGTGAATAATCTTAAATTGGTCTGACAGACAAAGAGAGAAAGCGCGAGACAGCCTGAGGGGAAGACACGAGATTGGGATGCCCTCGCTAGGGCATAGCGGGGCAGCAAGGATCCAACCGGCTCACCCCCCCGCCCCGACGGCACACTCTGTACCGTGATAGCAGAAGCACGAAACGGTGAAATCCCTGTCCCTCTGGAACAGAAAAAGCCTGATCGCGTGTTAAGAGGGTGCTTCCCGCATGCTCCTCTTTCTTCTTCTTTTTTCCATCTGGCCCCACACCACCACCACCTTTTCTTAAATGAGGTGCACGAGTTTTCACCTGAGGGATGAAAGAGATATTTATTAATGGAGTGGTTTGATTCCTTCCTTCCTTTTACTTCCTCACTCCACAAAATCTGTCCACTTCTTACACAAGGTTGTTTACTTATGTTAAAATCATTGCCGTATTAAAACGTTGGTGCTAGGTGCTTTGAAAGTGTCCCAAATAAACAGTCTTACTGTAGTTCCATCCTGTAAAAGAACGCTCATGTGTTACGATGCTATGAATAATTTATGCTTAATAAGCAGTGGAAACTGTGTCTTGTAGGAGGACGAACCACAGAAAAAGGTTCAGTTTTAGATTATTAGTCTTTTTCCAATCTTTACATTGAACTAGTATATAAAATTATTAAAACCTTACAAAATTATACTGTATGTATTCATAAATACATCTTTGTCTTGTGTATGCCTGCCCATAAATATAAAAATGTCCCTTCAAGCTAAGTAGATATGGTTAAGTGAAACCGTTTGAGTTTAATACCTGGCAGTAAGTTTCCATGGGAAGTTTTGGTGAAAGTGCTGGACAGATGTAGTGCGATGTTTGTTCCTTAATGCATTTGCTTAGTTACTAGTGCTGGTAAAGAGCAGGATTGGCGTCTGTTCTTTTCTGCCTGGGTCGTGCCAGGAATGGCTGTGCCGTGCCTTGCCCAGCGATGGTAAAATCATTTGAGGCTCCTCTGTCAGCTGGAGGGAGACCAAGGAGGCTCACTCTAGGTACGGCACACGTACCATGGGGCAGTATTTGGGAGGGAATGGGATTTGAGTCTTAAAAGGCTGCAACAATAACAATGATAAAACCAAAAAAGCTAACTCTGTTTCCTTCTGCGTCTTCTCCTACTGGAGGAGTTTAAGAGGGGCTTAGGTTTCCTTTTTTTCCTCAAGTTAAACGGAAATCCCCAAACACCCTTGCAGCCTTCGAGGAGATGGAGATAGAAGAAACGCCGGCTGAAGGAGGACGGGCTGTGCCAGACCAGGCGGGTTGGCCTTAGGCTCCGTGACCTTCACCACAAGGTCATTTTTAGCAATTCCGCTTTCACAGGTCGCCTGTTGGGCCCATGCCTCAGAGGCTTAAGCTCGGGATTGTTTCCTCAGGGCTCGCAGGAGAGAACTTGGAGCCGGAGGTGTCTCTCCCAGCCGCTTTGCTAGCGTGGAAGTGGGAGGTAGGAGCTGCGGCCAGGTGCCTTGATTTGCAAGGGCTGTGAAGTGCTGAAGGGTGGCTGAGGTTAGGGCGACCTTGTGAAACACTGTGTTCAATGCAGTGTGAGGAGGGTTTCCTTTATTAGGACATTTAATAGATGTTTAATGTGTTTGAAGAGTGGGACATACAACTGTACAGGGGTTTGTTCTCTACTTGCCAGTGGGTGTTTGGCACCAGGAACTGATCAACAAATTTGCCTGACCCAGATGTTCAGTTAGGCTTTGGTTCTGGATGATAACGTGGAAGCTGAACATCCAGTTTAATGCTGCAGCTTCCCTCTCGCCTCCATCACTTACAAAGGTGCTGGGATTTTTATTCTGACTTTTTTTTCCACAGGCTGCCCACCCAAACACTTTTCTGTTTGGGCAGTGCATGAATGACCACAAAAGACCACATAGTTTTGTATCTTGGATTTTATACTAAGTTTATGAATCAGTTCATCTCTGTAAGCAAAACCAAAAAGTGTGTCCCTGTTTAGGCTTACACTAAGGCTGGTGAACCCATTCTTTTGCCTTCAAATTAGCATTTAATTCAGTGACAGGTCCTGGGCAGTTTTATCTAAGCTTAACTGTCTGGGTTCCCGACACAAAAAGAAGTTGTGTATTTCTTTGTATTACTCTTTTTTTTACATTACATTTGTAATGAGAATGTATTGGGGTTTTCCTAGTGTGCTTGTGTGTTAAGCAGTGTTTGCTGTGGAACCAAAGTGTAGCAAAAGGTGAACGCGTTTTAAGAAGGACTCCCTTTTGTTATGTTGTCTGTGTATGGTTGCTGCCGGTATGAGTACCGACCTGCGGGTGACCAGTGTCAGCCAGAATGTTTCTACTTGATAAATTCCATTTGGAGAAGGATGCATGTCTTGGGGGGAAGCAGAAGCTGAACAGTAGAGTCTGCTGATTCTTATCTGCTTTTGGTTTCTTCTTTTTTTTTTTTTTTTTTTTTCTTTCCAGATGGTGATACCATCTTGGTGGAAAGAAGTCAACAGTGTTATTTCACTGCATGGGTTTTTCATAAAAAGTTATTTGCTGAATTGTTCATTTCTGTAACTTACTTCAAAGGCTCTTTTCTTCTGATGCAAACATGGCCCTGAATCAGTCTAAAATGCAACAGGAGTCAAAACAGAGGGAGTGTGTCAGTGTTAAGGAAACACCACCACCCAGAGTTTTTCACAAGCAGCTTTTGTGAGTTCAAGCACCATCCCTAGAGGACTGTGTTAATGTAAAAATTGTACAGACCATGAGAGTTCCCGATAGTATCAGAAGCAGCTCATTGAGCCTGAAGCATGGTCCTTCAGATACGGAATAGATCTTTCACTGTTCAGGTTATTTTCTTGGTTTTGGCTTGCTTAGTCCTGCTGAACTGAAGAGACAGAGTTTACAATTAGTGTGCCCTTGTAAGCAAACCTTGGCAGCAGAGAGAGGATAAAGTTAGCTTCTTATGCAGGATAGGGCCAACGTTCTGGTAAATTAACCAGAAGAGAAAAAAAATAAGTGAGGATCTCAAAATGCAACATAGAAAATGTTTCTTTTTAGTGGTGAAATACACTGTTTTGTTTTCCAGGCAAAATTAAATGCAAATCCAAGTTGATGCATGAGGAGCTCCGTTCTACCAAGAGGTTTTATTTCCATCAGCTTCCTCGTTATGAGAAAAATCTCTATTATTAGACCATAAACGTCTGCAAAATGTGATCCACATATGGATTGGTCGCAGGGCAGTAGCAAAGTCACATGTTAAAATCAAGGAGATGTCCATGGAATCTAAAACTATACTCCTATTATTTTGCAGCATGTCGACCTGGATTCTACAAAGCCTCTGCCGGCAATGTGAAGTGTGCCAAATGCCCACCTCACAGCTCTACCTACGAAGATGCGTCTCTGAACTGCAGGTGTGAAAAGAATTACTTTCGCTCTGAGAAAGACCCTCCATCCATGGCTTGCACCAGTGAGTAGCATCATTATGCTCGGGGCTGTCATTCTTGCTCCTCCATCTGTATCTCAGCAGCTTGCTTGCTTCCTCTCATGTCCCATTGCAGCCAGCCATTCCCTGCCTCCCATGTCTTCTTACATGTTGGACAGGCTACCAAAAATTGGTGGGCTGGGTTTATGTCCTTCTGTTTTCATTTCCTCCTTCTTCTTCTCCTCTGTCAGACTCAAGAAGGAGACCTAGGATTTTTAAATTGCTACCAGTATTTTCAGGCCTCAGTCCTGAACTGTACCCTGAAGGTACCGTCTGTCTATAAGAAAACATGGTTCTTGATAGTCTAGGTCTGTAGTCCAGTAAAATATTTCAGAAGTCTCTACAGGGAATAACTAGAAGAGTTTGGTTATTTATGGTTTTGACTTTTTTATTTTTGCGCCCTTGTTACTCCCATCTTAGAGCACTACGGAGAATCTCATCCCTCTGATTTCCCGTTTCCTTTTATAGGACCACCATCTGCTCCGAGAAATGTTATCTCTAACATCAATGAGACGTCTGTTATCCTGGACTGGAGCTGGCCTCTTGACACTGGAGGTCGGAAAGATGTCACTTTCAACATCATTTGCAAAAAATGTGGAGGAAACATCAAGATGTGTGAGCCGTGTAGCGACAACGTGCGATTCTTACCCCATCAGACTGGACTCACCAACACCACGGTGACAGTAGTGGACCTTTTGGCACATACCAATTACACTTTTGAGATTGATGCAGTCAACGGGGTATCTGACTTGAGTACACTTTCCAGACAATTTGCTGCTGTCAGCATCACAACTAATCAGGCTGGTGAGTCTCTTTCCGATTACCCTTTCTTTGTTCAAAACCATGGAGATGTAAGTACCTTTGTTTACCTATTTTACAGGAGTTACTCTGACCGCTGGTGTGCTAGGGTAACTAATTGACTTGAATATGCTAGTAAAAGTAAAAGCAGAAACAAACCCAGTATGTGTTGCTGTCAAAGGACCTGGCAACATGACTGTTGTGATTAACTCCCAGTTCCCAGTTAATAGTCTCGAATAGCAGACTCACATGATTCCTTAGCCAGAATGTGTTTTATTAATAAAACCAGATTTTAATAAAACACTCATTTCAATAATGTCCAACATAAATTACTGTAGTAATCTTAGTGATTAATTTTGATTAAATAGAAGTGAAAAAATGCTTTGATGTTAGACACATAAAAAGCTAATATTAAATTAGAGAGGTTTAAAACACTGCTTTTTTTTTTTTTTCTTTTACAAGTTGTCTCACCAACTCTGAATTATTGCCAACATGATGGGGGTGTGGAGCTGAATACTGAATTAGGTCCTGGTTTCGTAGCTGATAGTGTGCAAAGGGACTGCTCTGCTTCTGTGGAGACTTATTAAAGTCATTGAGGCCCTGCATGAGCACAGCAGTATGCCCTGACTGTCGGATCAGAGCTTTTGTCACTGCTGCACTATTCTACCATTTGCTTCTCATTTGGCAAGGTTACATTTATCTGAAAGATGTGAAGAATCTAGACTCTTCTCTAGCATTTGTTTAGGTACCATTTTTTTAGCAGCAATGTTTGCCAGTGAAGAGAGACTAGATCCTGAAATTTCTGTAGTTCTGCTCCACGCGGTTCACCATCAGGAAGGTTTGTACTGAAAGCATGTGTGTGTGCAGTAAGGCTTCTCCCACCTTCTCCCATCCCCCACCCCCACCCCAAAATACCTACATTTCTGTCTTCCTCAAAGCACAAACCGACGTTGTTCTAAGTAGATGTTCTCCTAGTAAACTACATTATTGCAAAGTTTTTCACTTTAGAGGATATATCTCTTCTCCTCAGATCACAGATCAGCTTTAGTGGGAGGCATAGAAATACGAGAACAGACTGTTTTCTGACAGCAGTCACTACGTTTCCAAATGCTCTGGAGGACTGTCTATGCAGTAGGCAGGCAGAGGTGAATCTACCCAATTGAAACAACTTCTCATGATCTCTTTTTCATTTAGGCACTGACGTCAGCTCTGAAACTCGCATTTTATGTCCCTTCCAAATAACTTGCTACTGTTATAGTTACACGTTTTGTATATTTGTGCCAGTGACTTGAGCAGCCTTTGTTTAGTTGCTCTCTTTTCTTCTGTTTTTTATATCAGAGATACAGCCTTTCAGCCTGTTCATCACTGTAGCGTTAGAAATCACCTGGGGACACTCCCCTAGAATGAACTGTCTAGGATCAGTGAAAGGTATTTCTCTGCAGAGGCCTCCTGCTTTGCAGCATGCTTCCCCAGGGCCCAGAGCTGGCTGCCTTTGCACTGCGATGCAAGGTGGACTTTTATTTTGTTTTGGAACGCACAGTTCCTCTGACGTGGCAGAGTCAATGCATTTCTGGCAATAGCAACTTTGTTTAATGCAACCCACAGGCTGCTTAAGCAATTTGTTTGTTTTCTACTTTTATGCATAGCCCATTTTTGCTTTACATATATTTAGGTGTTGCGGGTTACTACAGGCTTAATTGTGCTATGTCTTGATCATGCCGATTGGTTTACTATATTAGAATTCCCCTAGAAATTCTGCAAGTTGCTAAAATTAGACCTTAAATATCTATATAAGTAATCTTTTAAAGCATAATTACAAAAATGCAATTTCTCTTGCATTCCCCTCCTCGTTAGATCACAAAAGGGACACACCAGAAGCATATTTTTAGCTAATGTCATACTTAAACACCTGGGTGGGGGGAGAAGGTCTGAAGATCTTAGACTTCATTATAATTGAAGGTTTAACTGGGGGGGTGTTTCAAAAAAGAATTAAAGCACTGTTGAGGTGGATCTGGAAGAGACCAAAAGACTGCAAAAGCCAGTCATGACTCTAGGGCTATTACTTGTGCCATCTGATTTTAGGTACGTTGCTCCCAGGACGGAGGTATCCACCAGTTGGATAAAGCTTGGGTTAAATGGCTGAGCTCTGCTGGACTCAGGGGAGTAGGAGAGGCGTGTTGTTTTGGGAGGTTGCTCCGCGGATGGGGTATCCCACGGGGCGATAGGGTTCGGTACGGCTGGCCGGATCCTGGGGACAGAGCCCCTGGCAAGCCTGCAGAAGGAAAGATGTCAGTCAGTAGGCTGCGAGTTTTGGAGAGAGGATTGAAGTATAGAAGGTCCCTGCTACCTGGAGCTTCTCAGTCTCTCCTGAATCCAGGCTATTTCACTCCTGCCGACCATGATTTGAGAGGCCTGTACCCTTGCAATGGGTATGATGAAGTTGCAGTCTTAATCTTGGATTTTCAGTATCCACGTGCTTTCTTCAAGCACTGCCAGGGCCCATCCCAGCTTAGTGAAAACTGTTCTGCAGAATGTCCCTCACCCATCCAAAACACGGGTTTTCAAGTACGTGAGTTTCTGAGAGCCTGAGGCAGACCTGCAGAATGTTTTGTATTTTCTAATGACAAAAATGTGACTTTTGCGGCAGTTCTCTTGGTGGTAAAAATTGGACATTGTACATCTTTACTTCTGATGAACTCAGTTCAAGACAGGCATTGGTTGGTGTTATGTTTGCTGGGTCTCTGAGCTACAAAGGCCTGCTGAAAATCGAACAAACATTTCTTTCCATGTTTCTCACAGTACATGTGAGCATTTCTGCCTATGAATCCATCACCAGCCTAATAGATCAAAACGTGCATAGTACTAATTTTCTGTAATGCAGCAGCTGGGACATCTGCCAGAGTGTGTTAAAATACATTCAGCTGATATGTTAGGAGTCAGTCAGTTTGCACAGCAGCTCCATTTTTGTACGTAAACAGATTATATACACACGTGCATACACATATTTGTAATTTACATATACACGCAGATATATACACACGCAAAAAGGGTCACCTTAAATGTTGCTGAAAAATTTGCTGATACCTTTACAGTGACTCTTGAGTTCTAGAGTCTGTAACTAAAAATCTCAAAAAGATTCTCCTGGAGATTTTTCAAACCTGGTCTAGAAGTAAAGGAAAGGTGTGCTTCTCTGTCACTTGTAAGCTTTGAAACATCCAGACTCTGATTCTGCTGGTGCTGTGAGTGCAAGAAGGATAATACATTTTACAGTACAAAACTGTTGTAAAGCCAAGATCCAGTCCCCTGAATTAAGGGAAATTCAGAATTGTTTCAGAAAATGGATTGGTTTTTTTCTTCCAACTGTCTGGCCTGAGTTTTGCTGCGCTTTTATTGCATTTTCTTTTCCTTCCCTTTCAGTGAAGGTTAATGAGCAGACATCCCTGGGGAAAAAAAAAAAAAAAGTGTCTTGCAAAATATGGCTAGACAGGTATGACACTGCAATATTTCTAATTCCCGTAAGTCTTTCTGTCTTTGGTGTGGAAGTAAAAGACAAAGGGCACGCGTTTCTATTTAATTTAGTTTGTTGATCATCCTCGTTGATTGGAGTATAATACATGCCTTCAGTTGCTGCCTGATACAGCTTCCTCTGAATTATATTGAAGCATTCTGCTGCTGCCTGAAGAAAGCTCTCACCTCACGTCAATATGTTGCACCTCACAGATGTTGTCTCCTAATAACACCAATCAACCCCATTTAGAAAGGGTCACTGGCTGCTGCTGGAGAGGGTACAGAATTCGGTACCCGTGGAGGTGGCCTGCTAATTGCGAACGTGCCACGCAGAGAGGCTGACAGCCATGCCACGCTGCCTGGCTTGTTGCGAGTGTGATCAGGTTCACTGGGTTTTCTGAACACAGTTCATGGGCTTTTTTAAAATGCGTTTATCTGTTAAGACCAGAAGGTTGTCCATTCCTGGGAGCTTTGTAAGTAACCCAAAGGGAAAAGACGTCCAGTCCAGGTCAGGGCAGTTCTGCCTTTACTGCCTTTCGGCAGTAGCAAGCAGAAGACTCATATTGGAGCCCAAAGAGGTTTTAAATGGAAATAGGGTGTGGAATTCACTGAAGAAAGACTAAGATTTGGTAGGGACAACACAATCATGCTACTGGGCAATCAGTTTACAAAAATGAGGGAGATGGTTTTCCAGTGTGCAACACAGCCATTCAGTCAGGGACATATATGAGTTGAATATGTTTTGCAGATGCTGCATGAGAAAGTAACAGGTTTCTTCTGCCCTATCACTGCTTTTGTGGTATCACACACAGTCATACAGGTTGTAGGTATGAGTCAGGAATGCTGAGCGAAAAGATTAATATTTTAACCAGCGACCTAATTGACTTAACAGCACTTTAAATAGACATTCTCTGCAGTGATCTTTGCAATCTAGAGGAGATAAGGAGAACTTTCAGGAATCTGTACCATTAGCAGATATTGATCTATCAGGTACATCTTAGGAAGCCTTGGCCATCCCAGTGGTATCCCAGCACACACAGTGCCATCCCCATCCTTTCCTCCAGGCAGATCTGGTGAGCAAGGTTCATCATACAAGAAGTGGTTCTGTTTGTTTGATCTAAAATCTGTTTGCTTAGTTTTGTTTAGTTTGTATTTGTTAGTTCTAGTGACTATAAACTCATGCAAACAATATGATAGCGGCATGTCTAATAAATAATAAGTACAGTTCTCGCTGTATTTATTGTGTAAACCAAAACAAATACCGAAAGCATCCTCAGCTTGTTGAAAGTTGGGGAAGTCCCAAAGTGAGCAATAACAAATAAAACCTTCTGTATTCCTGAAGGGGGCTGCACCTCCTATCTAACAAATAAATGTGGTATCTATGTAATCACAATCCATATAAGTCTCTTGGATATAAGCATATACCTAATGATAAAAATGTATTTTACTGCTTAAAAGCTAAGTCAGAAACAGCTAGCATTCACTGGCTGTTACCTTTA